GTTCGTTCACAAGCTCTTTATCAATAAAGACAGTACTAAGAGCCTCTGATATTTCATCAATAATGCTAAAAAGTTCCTAAGAAAAGGCTTTGCTTTATCGTATTAATAAGATCTATTTATGCTTAATACTGTTTTTGAAAACATGTGGTGCTCACTTGTATTTTGTCATGTCACAAGAATAACATGATGTAAGCATGAGATTGCAAATTTTCAAAACTTTTTAAAATAAAAACTATGCTTTTTTTGTAGCCCAGTTCTCAGCTTAATCAGTAGCGACAATTTTCAATTCTTTTATATGCCATGGCAAATCTACATTCTCTTCTACTGCAAGAAATTGATATATTATTGAATTTATTCATTTAAAAAAAAAAGTATATTCTATAATTCTATACTTTAAGTAAAGTAGTGTTATTAATTGTCATTGCTGACTACTTCAAACAAATTTTTGCATTCCTATTTCATACAGTGAGCATTAAAAAGGATTACATATCATACTTTCACTATTGACAATGAACGACATTTCCTGACTTTAAGGTATAAAATATGCTTTTCTATAAAACACAAATAAATTTACTGCACATATAGAATAAGCTCAACAGATGTAATCAATCACTCACGAATGATATATACTAATTTCTAAATGGCACTCTTTTCTCATTAGAAAACTAAAATCACCATTCTTGAGACCAACAGAACTGTTCATCACTTACCGACAATATCTGGTGCCATTGAGAAAACCTTGTTCTTGATACCAGTAAGTGGCACAGGAGATATCTGTTCATCACAGTTAAAAATCACATAGAAAATTTCGACCATTTAATAAGATTTCTTACCAATAAAACAAGACGAAATGAATGCATGTGAACCAAATGTGGTGATCATGAATGGTTTAGTTTTTACTTTCATAAAATTCCGAATTGATTAGGACGGCAAAATACAATAAGAGAAACTTGAAATTAACATTTTTTACAAAACCAAAAATACCTTTTTTGTGGTCGATATTCGATTAAAAACGAAAGTGTTCAATTCCTCGAGATTCCATAAAAAATCTTTGTTCTCTTCCACTGCAAAGATTAACACTACCATTAAATTGGAAATATGTTGCTTAATTATCATTATGTAAAACCTAATTATGTAAAAGTACAATAGAATATTCAACATTAC